CCTTCCTAAAGGGCTGGAGGAGCCAGTGTGTTCCATGGCTGGTGTTCTGCCTGCTGCCAAACCGGGGTGCTGCAGTTGGGCCACTGCTGCTATTAGGGGACAGGGAGTTGAGGCTGGTGTAACCCATTGCACAAGTGATGTTGCATGGCGATGCTCTGCTGGCAGAAGAAATATCAACGTGGGGCACAAGTGGGCTGTGAAATGAGAAAGGGTCTGTCCCCCTCTGCTGACTCCCCAGTGCGTGCTCCGAGCTCTGCGCTAGCCCTGGCTACTTAAATCATTACTGATCTGCAAACAGGGGCCAGAGGGGCTGGCCACCGGCAGCCCGAGCCCCGGCAGAGCAGCTGGATGCCCCAGGGATGAACACACATTGGTGAGGCTGGGCATGTGGTGGCCAGCGGCGGCCAGGAAGCACCAGCAGCCGTTGCGCTTTGTTAGGCTTCCCATTAATTAGTACAGCCACAGGGGCTGGTGGTGCTGGGTGCTCAAAGCCTCTCCCTGCCCTGCCAGCACCGGGCCCTGCGATGCCGTTTGGCTGCGTGACGCTGGGAGACAAGAAAGATTATAACCAGCCGTCCGAGGTGACCGACAGATATGACCTGGGCCAAGTCATCAAAACGTGAGTTGGTCCCTTCCCGGACCCACGGTGCCTGGGGGACCCCAACCGCCTGCATGTCCCCGGCTGAAGGGGGGGGAATTTCGGGGTGCTGGTCCCCAGCTGGGATGGGCAAGGTGCATTTTGGGGTGCCTGTCCCCTCCTTTGTCCCTCTCGCTGGTGGGCACTCACCACCACCTCTGAGGAAGGCAGCTGCTGCCAGCTGCAGCTGGGTGGCTCCCCATATCCCTCCCTGCTCCCCCCAGCATTTGCAGGGGTTGCAGGAATCCTGCATGATCCTGGCTCCCCCGAGCGCTGCAGGAAGCAGGAGGGCTCTGCTCCAGCAAAAGAGAGTGCATCTGGGGGCAGGAGCGGAGCGCTTCTGCTTCTCCCCAACTTTTATTGGGGACCCTCTAGGAAGCACTCCAAAGCCTGGAGCCTTCAGACTCCATGAGAGTGGTTTGACCCTAAAATATGCACCATCATTTTTCCCATTGGCCTCCCATTGGGACCACATGGCCGTGGGTCACGCCTGGCAGGGTTACACTGGGCATCTTGTTGGGTGCTGGCAGAGCTCTGCTCCATCCTCTGGGCAGCCTGTCCCAAAGCCCATGGGTCTCAGCTTCCATGCACCTAGGGCAGATGCCACAAGGGCTTTGGCACAGCCAGGGTAGCTGGAAAGCCAAAGGCTTTGGTGGAGCGGTGCTGAGTTCAGCCCGCCCCCCACCCCCGGGGGCTTCCTGCAGCTCTGGCCTGGCCGATGGGCTGGAGCACCATTAATAATAGAACAGAAGTATTGCAGCATCCCCCTGCACCAGCGCATCTCCCCTTTTCTCTTCCTGACTGCAGCGCTGACTGTAATGCCGGGGTGTGCTGCTGTTCCTCCTCGGCACAGGCAGCAGGTCTTGCCCTGGCTGTCATGGGGAGGGGGCTTTTTAATCAGCAAAATTCCCCCTTCCCTATAAGTTTGATTATTCCCTGTCAGTGCCCTCTTTCCTCTATGCTATGGTGAGGATTGTAGCCGCAGCTTCCTTCCACTCCTGCAGCATCTCCCCTTGCCGGTGGGATGGGGTGATGCTGGTGGGGCTGGGGACCACCTGAACACCTCGAGCTCCCCAGGAGGGTGATGCTGTGGGTGCTCTAACAGGGAAGAGTTCTGTGAGATCTTCCGGGCCAAGGAGAAGTCAACGGGGAAGCTGTACACCTGCAAGAAGTTTCTGAAGCGGGACGGGCGGAAAGTGCGGAAGGCGGCCAAAAACGAAATCATCATCCTCAAAATGTGAGTGCTGGGACTGGGGTTGGCTCCCGTGCTGCGGAACAAAGCAGGGACCCCCACCCATGCCCCTGTTTCTCCATAGGGTGAAGCACCCCAACATCCTGCAGCTGGTGGACGTCTACATCACCCGCAAGGAGTATTTCATCTTCCTGGAGCTGTAAGTGTTAGGGGTGCAGGGGGGCTGGCTGGGGCTGCCCCAGCGGGGTGGGTTTTGGAAGAGCTGCTGTTGGCAGGGCCACCGGCCGGGAGGTCTTTGACTGGATCCTGGACCAGGGCTACTACTCGGAGAAGGACACCAGCAACGTCATCCGGCAGGTGCTGGAGGCTGTTGCCTACCTGCACTCACTCAAGATCGTCCACAGGAACCTCAAGGTCGGTGGTGGTGGGGTGGCAGCACCCATGGGTGCTGGCGTGCCCCCAAGGCCGGCACTCACAGCCCCTGCTCTGGCAGCTGGAGAACCTGGTGTACTATAACCGCCTGAAGAACTCCAAGATCGTCATCAGTGACTTCCACCTGGCCAAGCTGGAGAACGGGCTCATCAAGGAGCCCTGTGGCACCCCTGAGTACTTGGGTGGGTGAGAGCCGGGTGGGCAGGCAGCACGGATGGGGTCCCAGCAAATCCCTGCTTCTCCTTGCTACCCTGGGGACCAGTCCTGGGGGCTCCCATTATGTCCCTCCCAATGGTCATGGGTGCTCCTTCTGTTGCTCATCACCCCTGGGCTGATCGTGGGAGCCCCTGGTGTGTCCCTCTCCTCCCCATCACCCCAGGGGATGATCCTGGGTGCTTCCAGTGGGTCCCTCTTGCTCCCTGTCACACCAGGGGTTGATTCTGGGTGCTCACAGTGGGTCCCATTCTCTCCCCATCACCCCAGGGGCTAATCCTGGGTGCTCCCTCTGCTCCCCATCACCCTGGGGACAAGGCGCCAGGGGGTTGGGGACCCCAGGGCAGGGCCACTCTCTTGTCCCTCACAGCTCCGGAGGTGGTGGGGCGGCAGCGGTACGGGCGGCCGGTGGACTGCTGGGCTATCGGTGTCATCATGTACATCCTGTGAGTGCAGGGTGAGGGATGGGGTGGCTGGGGGGGGGGCTGTGGGCTGTGACCGAGGCTGAGTCCCCCAACACTGTCCCCCAGCCTTTCGGGGAACCCCCCCTTCTACGAGGAGACGGAGGAGGAAGACTACGAGAACCACGACAAGAACCTCTTCCGCAAGATCCTGGCTGGGGACTATGAGTTTGACCCTCCATACTGGGACGACATCTCGCAGGCGGGTGAGCCCCACGGTGTGGGGGGAACACATGGGGTCCCTCAGTGTTCCCCCCAGGCACTGACTTCCTCACGCTGTACCCTCAGCCAAGGAGCTGGTGACCCGCCTGATGGAGGTGGAGCAGGACCAGCGGATCACGGCGGAGGAGGCCATCTCCCATGAGTGGTGAGGGGCGGAGGGGGCAGGCGGGGGACTGGGGGGGGCTGGTGGGGGCCGCTCACCCCTCCTCACCTCCCCAGGATCTCCGGTAACGCCGCCTCTGACAAGAACATCAAGGACGGCGTCTGTGCCCAGATCGAGAAGAACTTCGCCCGGGCCAAGTGGAAGGTGAGTGGGGGGGCCCCGTGCCTCCGTTTTCCCTCCCAGCCGACCCCCGTCCCCCTGCACGGAGCTGTCAGCCTCGGGGGCTCCCATCCCCAGCGAATCCCGCAGCCCCCAGCCGGCATCTGCGGTGGGGAACCCGACTCCGCGGTGAGGGGCCCGGGGGCAGGGGAGCGCCCGTGCCCGACGGCTCCTTGCCTCTCCCCACGCAGAAAGCGGTGCGAGTGACCACGCTCATGAAACGCCTGCGGGCGCCCGAGCAGGCGGAGACGGGCCCGGCCTCGGCTTCGGGGTCGGCTCCGGCCCCGGCCCGGGCCGCGGGTCCAGCCTCGCTCCTTGCCCGCGCCGCCGCCGCTGCCAAGGACAATGCGGGCTCCGCTGCTCCCAGCCCGCCGCCCGCCGCCGCGCAGCCCGAGGCCCCCGGCACGCCGCCCGCCGAGCCCACCACGTGTAACGGGGAAGGGGCTGCCGCCGCCGCCGAGCCCCCCAGCGAGCAGACCGGCTGAGCGGCGGCGGCCCCGGCACCCCCCTTTGTACATAGCCCCGGCATGGCCCCCGCGCCCCCGCCTGCGCCTCCTTTTCTACGTGCCCCGACGGAGAGCCGGCCGCGGGGCAGAGCCCTGCATGGAGCCCGTCCGACCCGCCCCCCCGGCGGCTTTGCCGGTCGGTCTGTCCGTCCCTGCCCCGTCCCGCTCTCTCAGTCTGTCCCCCGCCGCCGTGTCTCGTCCCCCCCATCCCGCCCCGGGGATGTCCAGCAGAGATACGGGGCAGCCCCCCCCGGCCGCACGCCCCGCAGGGCTGGGGTGGGGAGCTTCGCGCGGAGCCCCCCAAACACACATGCATGTGCGGGGCCGCGGGGGGGGCCCGGCGGGCAGAGCACCCGGTACCCCCGCTCCAACCCGGGGGGCGCGTTGCAGGGGCGAAGGAGCACCGGGAGCCATTCCCCACCACCCCCCACCCCCCCACCGCGCCGTGCCTGGAGGATCCCAAATGTTCCCCCCCGGCTCCCCCCTCCCGGTCGCCGCTTCCCTCCCTCGCAGCTGCATGCCTGCAGGGCCGGCTCTGCCTGCGGCTGCCGCCGCGCCCCTCCTTCTCCCCCCCACCCCAGGCTGTATCTGGCAAATAAAGACCCCGCTGAGGACAAACTGAGACAGCACCAGCGCCGCCTGCACCGTCTCTCTGTGGGGCGCGGGGTGCCGGCAGCTGGACGGGATAAGTAACGGCCGCGGGGTAGCCTCCCCCGACCCCCCGGTAGGCTTCAGCGTACCCGAGCCCAGAGACCCGGGAGCGCGGCGGGCGCAAAGACCCGGGGGCGCGGCCCTCAGGACACGCCCCCCGCCGAAGCTCCGCCCCCCAGCCTCTGCTCTCTCCCCTTGAGGTCACATCCGCACCGGGCCGGAAGTGGCGGGTGCGCGGCCGTATTTGAACGGCGGGGTACCGTGCGGCTGCCGTGGTTGCGGGTTCGTGTCCCGCGGGGGCCGCCCGCCCGGCCCCGCCATGCCCATCCGCGCACACTGCACCATCTGCTCCGACTTCTTCGACAACGAGCGCGACGTGGCGGCCGTGCCCTGCGGCCACACGTTCCACTATGTCTGGTGAGCGCCCGCCTGCCGAGGGCCTTTGAGGAGGATGTGGGGGTTGTGTTTTCCGGTTCCGCCGAGGTACCGGTACCGGCGGCTCCCGTTCTCACTCCGGTTGCTGTCGCTCTGATGTGCGGTTTCGCTTTGCAGCGGCTCCTGGAGCCGCGGCCGCCCCCCGGCGGTGCCGTCAGCCCGCGGCCTGCCCACTGCGGTGTTTGTGTGGAGGGGCCGGTGCCGCGCTCCTGCTGCGGGTGTTCTGGAAGTGCTGGTGTCGGAAGAAGCGGTTCTCGGGCAGAAATAAACGCTGTGTGCGGGGAGGGAGCGGGTGTTTGCTTTCCGGGGCCGGCCGCCTCTTGCCCAGTGGCACAGCTCGGGCTTGTGCTCCTCGAACAGCCAGCGGAGGAGGGAGAGCTTCCAAAGGAAACCTGCCAGCTCCAGGTTGTTACCGGGCTCCAAAAATAACCCCTTCTGAGCGTGACGTGATGCCTGGGTTGCAGAATGCGCTCACAGCTCTCCCGGGGAGCCCGGCAGGTTTGTGTTCATCATCGCGGAGCACAGCGGCCCAGGCTCCCTCCCTCCCTCCTTCCACAGATGTGTGGTTGGTGTCAGCAGCACCCTTTGGAGCTGACCGTGCTGGGGACCTCAGCTGTTGTGTCCGGATGCGGCAGCTCCTGCGCTGTTCTTTGTGGTGACCTGGTTGCTCCTGCAAAGCTGTGATTATCCAAAGGCTCTTTCCGAGGGAGATCTGAGCTCTGCAAAGGCTCTGCCCTGGTAAAGATAAGCTCACACACTAAACTCAGCTGAGAATCGTCTCGGAGTGAAGGAAGGGTGCCTGTGCTGGAGCACAGTGTTCCTGTTAGCTGCACCTCTGGACTAAATGCGTTTTTAGTTTTTAGCTGTAAAAAGGAGGTGCATCCTGCTGTCTTCTGGTGAGCCAGGGGGTCTGGGAGCAGTGCTCCTGGGGTTTAAGGATTGACCACGTGTTTCTTTTCCTTTCTCAGCCTCATCCAGTGGTTTGACACAGCACCTAGCCGGACCTGCCCGCAGTGCAGAATCCAGGTAAAACCATCCCCTGTGTACAGCTCTCTGCAGATGGCCTCAAGGAGCTGTGGCCTAGGCCTGGGGTGGTATGAGGAAGAGGCTTAGGGTATGAAACACAGAGTTTTCTGTCACTTCAGGCTCTCCTCAAAGGGTCAGAGAGCGATCTCCCTTCAGTCAGCCATTCCAATCAGGGGTTGGTCCGGGGGTGCCCCTGTTGTAGCTTTTCCAGAAAGGGTCTCTGGGTTTTCATAGCCTTTATTTAGGCTGAGTGAGCATTGTCATAATGATGGAAAGGGCTGGAAGGGGTTAATCAGGCCAGGCTAATCCAACTTGTGTTTCTGGAGTACCCTACCCCTTGCCGTCAGGTAAGCAACCCCTTCTGCTGCATGTGGTCCTTGTAATTGAGGTGCTTTGCAGCAGCTGGCTCTTTGTTGAGCAAAGCAAAGGCTGGAGAGGGAAGGAGGGATGTGAAGGAAGGATGTGCTTCTGAGATGGGAAGCCAAGGCTTGGGGATCCAGTGGCTTAACTGGGACCTGAACTTCTCTGAAGTCCTTTGTGTCACCAGCCTTGGTGCTGCCAGTAGGTCTTGGTGTGTAGCGGCTGCAGGAGATGCTGCCGCACACTCAGATGTGGGTTTTCAGGCAGCTGCATCTTGGGATTGTTCTGTGTTCGTACTTCTTTTTTCCTCTCAAGGTCTTGGCCCTTGTTCCTTCCCTGACTTGTTGATTCCCTCTGTTCTTCACTGCCTCTTACATCTCTGGGTTACCATGGAGTTACCGCGAAATAACATCTCATGTAGCAGTAACCATGCAATTAGCTGGTGTCATGACTGTATATAATACTTAAAACACAAAGCTGTAACTGCATGGGGGAGGTGTGGAGAGCTATCAAATTCAATTACAGCACCTTCTGCCTGCAGAAAGCATCACGTACTTCTGTCTTAGGATTTGGCATCATGTTAGCTCAGCGTCAGCTGCTTGGGCCTTAGCTGCCAGAGAACAGACTGCGCTTGATTCAGAAATGCCTGAATCTTTCTGCTGCAGCTCAGGAGCTTGGCTGGAGTCGCGCTCACAAAACTGAGTGGGGGGTCTGCTGCTGTGCTGATGAGCCAAAGCAGAGCATCGTCACTAACGGCGTTGAGCACGTGATCTGACTTGTCTTTCATGGCCTTGTGACAAGATGGTACCTTTTCCCCCTCCATCTGTCTTCAGTATCTGGTTGTGTTTCTGTATCTGTGCCCATCAACCTCTTCTGTCTCCTCTGTTTAGGTCGGCAGAAAACACATCATCCATAAGCTGTTTTTTGATGTTGCCTTGGAGGAGCAGGCAGCGCCGGATGCAGAGACCTTGCAGGTAATTTGGCTATGTGGATCTGTTGTGTTGATGCTTCAGCACCCTTGGATCATGGTCTGAGCTGCCCATTCTCTGCCAGCAGCTGTTTCCTGAGCTGGTGCTGACAGTGCTGTGCTCATGTTCCAGATCTGAAGCGCATCAGTGTCTCCTGCCTGTCTCTGTTCCCCCTCTTGGTGCTCACCCAGTCTCAGCTCCGTTGTAAGGAAGTCTCCATATGGAGTTCCCCCTGACCAGGACTTGTGAAGCCTCCTCTACTTCACTGCTCTTCTGGTTCTCACCTTACCTGGAAAGCTCCCAAAGCAGCACCAAGCAAACATCCAACTGCCGCTTCTCCCTTGGCGTGTTAAAGCCTTGGGGATGAGGCTATAGAGCTCTTCCAAAAGGCAGGAGAAGGAAAATCCCAAATGCAGTTAACTGCTGCTAGTGTCTGTGGTGTGGCTTGGTTGTGTGTGAGGTCTTCTTACCCCTTCATTAGAGGAAGTGCCCCGACCTCACTTGTGTGCAGGTGGGTTTGTTTGCACAGACTGTAAGGAAGTGGGACAGGGTGGTGAGCATCGTGGTTCCCCAAGAGAGATTAGGAATAGATTGCCTGAAGCTGCACCAGCAGTGGCTGGTCCCTGGGGAGGATCCCGGCTGGAGCTGGTTGATGCTCTCTAAGCTCCACTTTTAGGTGTAGAGAGCTGGGGGTGAGAAGGGATGAATGCAGAGTGGCTGTTCCACTGTTCCACGTTCTCCTTTGCTTAGCATGGATGAAGCATGGCTCCTTATGTCTTGGAGTTGTCTGTTCCAAAAAAAATAACTGGTTGACCTTGGTATAATGGGATGCTTGTACCCTCTCATGTTTAGAATCAGCATGTGCAGCAATTACCATAATTAGCAGTTGCCATGACAATGCTATATGTATATCGTATGTTTTTAAAATAGAGCCAGCCAGACTATAATGTCAGCAGCACTGTCGTTCTCCAAGATCGCTAATAGAGGAACTGCAGGCTGAAGTGTGTGTGCTGAGGAAATGAAGATACATCTCTGGGCACTTGAAGCTGTGTTCCTTAGAAGCAAAGCAATGGCTTGGAGCAGATAAACATTGCCTTTAGTACATACTCCAATCTGCTCTCACAAGTGTAAATACATGAGTGACTCAGAAATGGGTTGACTGGAGAAAATTGCCCTAGAAAAGCTTTCTTTTCCCTCTCACCCCCCACCCCAGGATCTAAGATGGGCTCCTCCAGGCAGGCTGTGCTGAAGAACTGCTCCCGTGCTCAAAGGCAGGATTGTGCAGCCACCCCTGCACAACAAGCTTGATGGTAACTCATCCTCTCCTACACAGTTTGCTGTGTGGCTGTCAGAGCAGCATCTGGCCTCGAGTGTGCAGCTTTCCTAATGAGAGTGCTGAGGTCACTCTAAAGGCAAAGAACCAAATATTTTTGGTGTAGATTAGCATAGTTAGCTTGTCTGGCTGTTTACTGCCTCATGCACTGATTCAGCTTGCTGCTGGAATGATGCTGGTTTGTTACACATTTCATGTGTGCTGCCTTGTTTCTGAGCGACATGGAGCACCTTAAGAACATGGGTAACTATCGGGGGTGGGATTGGATTTAATGTCCATCTAGGCTGGAGTGATGATGGGGTATCTGTGTGGGTACAGATAGCCACATCACTGCCTCTCTGATGGGGTATCTGATACTGGGCAGGGTGACAGTTCAGCAAAGCAAACACATGGTGGGCAATCCCCCAGCTCTTTAGAGGCTGAGAATTGGTGACATCCTCAGCCAGAAGTGATTTCACCTGAAAAAGCCTCCAAACACGGGGTTTGTTGCCAACCACTGCCTGTCCCTCCAAGAGCCTGGGCATAGAGTGGTACTTTGCTCTGAAATCAACTGGAGCTGTATCTCTGCAGCCTGCAGATGTCCTGAAATGAGCATTTGGCCTCCTGCCGTGGAAAGGTTGGGCTGGGGCAAGGCAGTGTGCTAGGAAGCAGAATATTAGCTGTGGTCCTCTTGTTGTCTTGGGGCTCTGAAGAAACGGTGCCAGGGCTGCTTTGCTTCCCACCACCAGCATCAGCTTCAACTGAAACACTGCAGGGGACTTAGTTCCCTGGAGTAGCTGCAGACCACAGACTGAACGCTGCGACATGCCCAAGCGGTTTTGGGTGCTGAGCCTGGGTTTATCCTGTGTTGCTTTTAAAGATGGTCCGTGGTGATTAGAACAGCCTCCATGTGGCTGTTTCCAGAGTGGGAAAAGTGTGAGGTTTTGGGTGTAGCGCTGTGGTGAGACCATCTGGAACCTGATGCTTCCAGTTGCTTGTGATCTGGGGAGCAGAGAGCCCTTCTTCCAAAGGAGACTAGGAGACTGTCTTCTTCAGCTGGGTGAAGAAGAGGAAAGAGGAGAATTCCTGCCTGTAAACCTGCTGGGGAGGGTAGAAACCTGGAAAGACAGCTGTCTGTGATGAGGATATATTAATTTGATCTTGGGAAAATGTGGCCTTGTAAGGCTGGCAGAGGGAGGAGAGCTTCTATCAGAGGAGTGAAAATTGGGAGCAGTCTTTAGGAGCTGTGGCGGAGGATGAGGATGAGGGATTTTGGATTAAGTTGATGAATGAGGTAATGTTACATAGCTGCCTGCAGTAGCCTGGGATTTCTTTGCTATCATGCTAATTAGCACATCTTGTGAGCTCACTAATCGTTACTGAATAGGACTCTGAGGAAGCTTCTCCAGAATAGCTTCTGCAGCAGAGCTAATTCCATGTCACCCCTCCAGATGTTGTCCCCCCAGGGTCAAATCCAAGTCAGCTCTGCTAGGTTTTGCATTCAGTCCCTCCTGCTTGCCAAGCTTTGCATCCCATATTCTCTTTCCTGCCTTTACTGTCGGTAGCAGAGCTTCACTCTGGTCCCGTCAGATCCGTGGTCACTGGCAGTGCTATTCTCAGCTCAGATTTGCATGTAGCGTTCCGGGCTGCACAGATTTGTGTGCTCTCCTTCAGTACTGTGTTGGCATTTTATTGTGGTTTTATTCCACTGCAGTTCCTGCCTGACTTGTTATGTGCTTTCCTCTGCAGTTCTCTAACACAGCTTTTAAAGTCATCTTCTGTTGACTCTTTCCTGTATATATTTGTGTCTCTCTTACCCTGTTTGTTTTTTCCCCTTTTTTTAATATTGTATATAGATAGCCTCTTTTATAACCTCTCTACATTTTATTTGACTATTTGCCAGTGTTCATAAATCCTGTCTCTGTAATTTAAGCTATTGGGCATTTGCTGCCTCTTTTTGATCCTTAATGAAGGCGCTAGAAGTATTTGATGTTCCTCAGAGCCTTGTGGCACCCAGGAGACGTTATGCACTCTCCTATTGCTATGGTATGGATTGTTTTATGGGTGATCTATTTGTGGCTGTTAGCTCACATCAGCTTCCTGAATAGCAGTGACTTCAGGGTCAGTCGGAATGCTGGCTGGTGCCTTTGGACTGTGTGCTGGGTGACCTTCTCAGGTGTTTGGATATAGCCTCCTGTCTCCCACCACCACCTGATTCAAGTTCACTTCAGTTCAAAGCAACTCTCAATCCAGTTAGTCTGGCAACATCCCTGCCTTATTGCCTTGTTTAGGTAAAACATTATAAAAATTGCTCCTGTCTGATTTCCTGTGTTTCCCTGAGAGCCTTCCAAAATTATTCAGCTAAAACAAGATGACTGACAGTGTGAGAAATACAAGGTTGACAAGGCTAAGATGAAACTGCGATCTTCTCTTCTCCCCCTGAAGGATGCCAGTTGGAGGTGCTCTTTGCATACCCTGTGATAGTACTTGCTTGTAACTTGGTGCTTGCCACTACCTCGTTCCCTTCTTAGCACCTGGCTGGTGCAGATGTCCTGCTGAGAAACCTCTTAGATTCCTTTAGGATCTGGTGAAAGCTCCTCTTTGCTAACTGGGTTTTCTGTGTTGTGTTTCAGAATGAACTGGACAAGGTGAAGGCTGAGCTCTCTGTGAAAGGTGAGTTCCAGGCGCTGGCAGGGGTCAGCAGTCCATGATCAGCAGGTCCTGGGCTCTGCCTGTGCTAGGTGGCTTGCCCAGGCCTGAGGAGCCCCTAAGCAGAGCCCGCCCTTCTCTGAAGCTGAGGGTATGGTGCAGGCTGCTTTTTCTAAAGGTGAGACCACCTAAAGCTGGACAAAGCCAGTTTGACAGAGCCAGAGGCCAAAGCCTGGCCCAGCTCTGCTGTAACTGGGGAGCGTTCTGCAAGCCTGGAGACATATATGCAGTGTTCTTGCTCCTCTTCCTAATCACAAGCTATGGAATTGCAGCACAGCTATATCTGGAGCAGGCTTGCTGAAAGCAAAACCCTTGGTTTGCTCACTGGGAAACTCACAGCTGCACATGGTAAAGCCTTGTTCCCTCCAACAGATCTAACTGCCCAAAAGCAGCAGTGGGCAGGCTTTGGATGTGTTTGGCTGTTGCAGTGCCACATGTGTTGCATGAAGAGCAGACGGAGTTCAGTGTGTGCGCTTCCATTTCCCCATCTTTAATTTTAGAGGATGTTTGAGGGAGGCAGGAAAAGCAAAAGCCCTGGAGACTTGTCGATGGGTTTTAAGCATCGTCTGTAGGCAGCTTGTCATCAGAACATGAGTCATGAGCAGCAAAAGGAAAATGTCACTCTGAGTGACAGAAATCCAAAGACACACTAGCAGAAGGGGGGAAAAAAAAGCTCTTTAAAGAATGCTGGGGGCTCACCCACGCCACAGGAGTCGTCTTCCCTCTGCCTTCCCTGCGTGCACGAGACAGACATGAATAGCCAGTAGATTGAGGATTCGGTCCTTAGCCCAAGAGCAGAATTGGATGGTCTGCAAGTCTCTATTCTGAGGCCTGTTCTCTTGCCAGCTTAGTTGAGTTTAGTGACTTGGTAGAGAGCCAGATCTTCTGGGGAAGGTGTCTGGGATTCTTGCTAGGATGTTATCCAAGAAAAACTGCTCGAAGGCCTGCTCATCTTCTCGGCTTCTGGTAAGTAGAGGTTGGATTTGACATTCCCAGTCCCATTCTCTTTTCATATTGGAAATGAGAAGCTCCTTCCCACCTCCTGCCTCATTTGCTGCGGGCACTCTGCTCTCTGGTGGTTCTTGCGTATAAATTCTTCACTTTAAAGATGTGCTCTGTGCTGTGCGCTGTAGAGGAGCTGTGTAATTGCCAGTCACTGATCAGCTTGCAAATGGCTCTGGAGGTGCTGAGCTCTGAGCAGACCCAGCAGGCGCTGTGGGAGGCACTCTGAATGAGCTGGAAACTAATTCCTGCAGCATGGGGAGGTTCGATTCCTGCCATCTGCCTCTGGGCAGCTGGGAACGGAGGAGGGGGAAGCCCAAGCTCTTTTGGTGGATGTGGAGTCCCCGCAAATGAAGGGGGGTGTCTCCAGGCTGTGCTGCCTCTGGTGAGGCAGGGTTATTCACATCAATGGAGAGAAAAGGGTTTGCTGAGAAACAAATGCTTCCCATGGCAGCTGTGTGCTTCTGCTGGGATAGGTTCCTGTCTTCTTCCCCAGTGCCATGTGTCTCTTTTACTGTTGGATCGAGCAATGAAGCTTGCTCTGCAGGTCATGCTTCCGTGGGATGTGGTGGCACAATCTAAAACTGGATTGATTGCAAGGAGGAAAAAGCCTTTTTGGAAAGTCACTGATGGGCTTCCCACTACTGCCAGGCTGCAGCCATGGGCAGTTTGGGCAAAGGCAGGAGATACTGAGCTGAGGACTTTAACCTGCGCTCAGCAGGGTTAGAGAGGTTCCTGCTTTCCCTCACTGCCCATCTGCTGCAAGCTTTCCATCGATGCTAGCTGCTCCCTGCTTAGGTCTGTCAGCTTCTGGTGGTGGTTATTGCTTTTTGTGATGTTCTTTCTTTGCCTTAACAAATCAGATAGAATTCTGGTGGTGTTTTGCACCACCTTCTCTCTTGTGGTCAGAGGCATGTGCTTTGTTCCTGGACTGTGTGCATGGGGAGGGACAGCAGAACTCAAAGGCTGTGCCTTGCAAAAGGCGGTCTCTCTGAGGAGTCTGCTTGAGCTGTGGCACGTCCTGTGAAGCCCCCAGTGCCCAGCAGAGCTCTGCTTTACTGCCTCTTCCCCTTTGACACAGGTAGAGCAGCGTGGTGGGTCGCTGCATGCAGCTGCCTGACAGCCCAAGAAAGGGCTTCCTAATACAGAAGACTGCACGTGGAGAGGATGGGCTCGGGGCTGTGCACTCCACCTCTGTGACAGCTCAGTGTAACTAGAGAGAAAGGCTTTCCTTGTGCAAGCCTGGCTTTGAGAGCATGCAAGAGTTAAGATGCAGCAGCTTAATGCTAGCAAGGCTGGCACTGGAAAGCTATTAAAGGGAATTTTTTATCTTTAGTAAAGAAAATCTTGAAGCCTGCTGGCAGTGGGAGAAGCAAGTGCTCAGTATAGACCCTGGTGCAGACAGCACTTGGGGAAATGTGTCTCTACAGGAACAGCCACCTCCTAGCAGCCTGGAGCCTGAGATCGCAAGCAGCGTCTTTGTCGTGCTCCTGCTGCTGTGGGGCAGCTGAGGTCTGGGTTTCTAGGCCATGACCCTTCTCTTTTTTCTTTTCCAGAGAAAGAAAAGCGGGAATGCCAGGCAGTTGTGGATGGGCTGAGGGACACTCTGGATGTGCGCAATGCCACTATAGAGTCGCTCCAGAAGGTGCTGGGAGAGACAGAGATGCTGTGCTCCTCTCTCAAGGTACCTTTCCTCTCCCAGCAGGACTTCAGCTCTAACCAGTGCATAGTCAGTGTTAGTTTTGTTGAAGATCTCTGCAGGCCCTGCTAATAAAGGGATTGTGCTGGTGGGATTTTGGATCTGCTGCCTTGAGATGCCTGACTCTTGATCTCTGAATGGCCAGAAGGCAACGGAGCTGGGTTTTCATTTTGGCTTTATTAATCCAAAGTGAGTGGTGTTGCTGGTCTTGAGGTCCTGTGTGTGCTCCACCTGGGGGTGATTCAGAGGTGTGAAAGCCAAGCCTGTGGTCTGTGTACAAGTGGCTACATGCTGGTGGCCCTGGGGAGAGGGGGAAGAGAAGTCCAGCCTGGGGGATGCTGGCTGAGCCTTGCTAATGAGGTGGCAGTGCTGATCATAAAGGTAGCAGCAAGAAGAGAGTGGGAACTGGCCCCAGCGCCCCATTGCTGAAACACTGTCTCCCTGTGGTAGAATGTTCTCCTGAAATGGGTTTAGGCCAGGCGGGATTCAAGGAAGATTGGTTTCCTAGTTTGATTGGAGGAGAAGTCAAACTGAAATATACGGAGGGGGAGTTGCAAGCTTCAGCTGAGTGGGATTTGATCCAGCTAACTCTCCTGTCTGTATTCTGTTGCCAGGGCTTCTGTTTAGTTAGGCTAGTAATGTGTGAAGTCCAGGGATCAAATATTCCTGTTGTGTTTCAGCGTGCAGTGACTCAGTGTGTAGTCATGTACTGTGCGTAAACAGCAAGGGGAAGAGCAGGAGCTGCATTGTCGAGGTGTCTTGTAGTGAGCAGAACAGCTCTGCCTGGCTGGGATGGGCACTGCTGTGTGAAGAGGACATGATGGTCACAGGAAGATGGGTTTCAGGCATGTGGGGTTGTGAGCTGCAGACTGAAAGGCATGGGAGGGGTTGGCTGCACCTCCTAAGATCCCTGCTGCTTGGACCTTTGCCCAGTAGCCTCAACTGCATCATGTTCCTTCACCTGCGAGGCCAAGTGGTCCAGGGAGACCTCATAGATGTTGTTGCTGGGTTGTCTTGCTTATGTCACCTGCAGCTGGGCTCCTGTGGGAGGAACCAGCCCTGGAGGTCTGCCTGACACTACCAGTGTGGGGCTGTCACAGGGCAGGAAGACAGACACAGGAAGGAACTGATGCCAGGCAGGTCTTGCTGTGAGCCAGCACAGCTTTTGTTTTCTTGCCTGACCATGAGATTATATTGAGTGTGCTTGGGTGGAGAGGCAGCCCCTGTAAAGGGCCATGCCAGCGATGCTCATGGGATCCTGGGTATAGCAGGATCAGGTAGACCAGTGGCAGGATACTCCTGATGCTCCTTGCTCCTGCAGAAACAACTGACAGTGGAAGCTGGTGTTTGCTGCTCAAGTCAACAACTCTGTGCTTGGCTTTCCTGCCTTGGCACCTCAGAGGATGCTCTGTGGTTACCTTGCCTGCTGCAGAACCCTCTGTGTGTGCATAAGTCCTTTAAGGGAAGCTGGGCAGGATGGAAGGCTTAGGGGCCTCGAGGTGTGTTTTTCTGTGGTGTACAGGGCATTCTAGCTGAATGCCAAGCACTGTCTTATACTGCATCATTAAAGATTAAAGCACTAAACTTCTGCAGTGAAAATATAGATTTAATTAACCATGGTGCAGGTCAAGCCCACAGGCTGCAAACCATTCCTGTCTTCTGCTAGCACTGTCTGATGCTGCTGAACCTTTGTGTCAGAGTTTGCTGCCCTTTCAGGCATGTCTGGGGCTGGGGACTGCTCCAACCTGGCACAAAACACTGCTTCGGGGACCTGAAGTGTAGAGAGCTCTGGTTAACGAGAGCTGAAGATGGGCTCTGCCTTAGCAAGAGTAACATGGGAGCCTGCAGCACTGTCCCTCTGCAAAGTCCCAGCATTTTCACAGCTGTTTGGTTTCTGTGGTAGAGAGCAGATAAAATCCTTTAACTTCCGTGTGGAAGGGAGCTTTACAAGTGATGGTCTTCTGCCAGTCTCTCCCTGGAGTCAGCACTGCGCTGAAACCAAGCCCAGAGCCCCTTGCAGGCACGGTGCAAGGTGCCCAGGCACACACAAACCTAGACAACGTGGATGCATTTAAATGCTGCTAATCCTGGCCAGCTTCCCCCTGTCCACACTGCAGATGGGTGCTTTTCCAGCTCAGCCGAGGTTCTCTGTTCCTGCTGCCTGCTACTGGAGAGCCTGGCAAGGTGATGGCTGCAGTGGGCTTACAGCCTCTCCAGGCAGGTGGGAGAAGTTCCCTGGGTTGGCTGAAGTCTCCTGGAAGAGATGCACTCAGCAATTCCTATTTATGCTCTGAGCAGCTAATAGAAGGAGAAGATAAAAGGATCAGCTGTGCACGGAGGAGAAAGCAATAGCAAGGTTTGCTTGCGGTGGGTTTGCTTTTGACAAACTGTCACCGCATCCAGGGGGCTGCACAGCCCCACAGATGCTTCCAGCTGAACAGAGGCTATGGTGTGGTTTCAGCACCAGATTCATCTTGTGATGAGCACTGAAACCCTGCAGCACTTGCAAGGAGCAGAGCTGGGGGTGCAGCAAGGAGGGAGCTAAACTCTTCCTAATCCTGAGCTGCTGAGGTGGTGATAGCATTAAGAGCCAATGTATGCTCCCAGCTGCCCGCAGTGCGCATAAGCCAGGATGTTTCTCTAACAATCCCTGGAGCCTTCCTAACGGTCTGTGTGTGCTTGCTTCTCTGCAGAAGCAGATGAAATTCCTGGAGCAGCAGCAGGAGGATAACAGAAGTTCAAAGGAGGAGGCCCGCCGCCTGCGAAACAAGCTGAAGACCATGGAGCGGTGAGATCCCAGCTCTGGGCCTTGCTGGTGGGCTGCATGCCTCTCCCCTTCTCTGGGAGGGAGGGGAGGGTCCTGCTGTGCCTGCTGCAAGCTCCACATGCTGGCTCATCGCACCCCATGAGGTTGGAAGCTGGTGCATTGTAGCAGGTCTGTCTGTGCTTTTACCCCTGCTGTGTTTCCAGTTTCAGCAGGGACAGAATCCCAGCCCAGGAATGCAGTCAGCCTCAGGGCTATAGGGCCCCAGAGCTGGGACACTGGCTCCATGTGCATTATGTATGTGTGTGCAGCTGCCCCTTCTCCAGTCTGTCCATGTAGGGCTCTTTGTCCATAGCCAAAAGCCCTGCTTGTGGATGGGCAATCGTGTCTCTTCCCCCACAACATCCAGAGTGCCTGCAGCAGGAGCTTAGGCTGCACCAGCCCCTTAGGGGGAAGCAGGGCTTCAGTTTCTCTCCCAGTTGTTTGTGACTCATGAGCTGAGGGGACTCTTTCTTTTGTGCAGCATCGAGCTGTTGCTTCAGAGCCAGCGCCCTGAAGTGGAGGAGATGATCAGAGAGATGGGAGTCGGGCAGGCAGCAGTGGAGCAGCTTGCGATCTACTGTGTCTCGCTGAAAAAGTAGGTGCTGTGGGCTTGGCACTTGGCTCATTCCTCCGTGGGTGTGCCATGGGAGAGCCCTCTGCCAGGTACCAGCAGGTACATGGGCAATGTAGGGCTCTTGCTGCCTGCTTGGGCCTCCACTGGGTTTTGACTGACAGATCCTGGGGACCTAGATTGGAGCCTGTCACACTGAACTGTTCCCACTGTCACTGTAGTGACATGTGTGTCACCATGGGAACTGTCTCCAGAGTTGTCACTGCACCTATAAGGTGATTATTATTATTCCTTCCGTTTCCCTCTCCTGCCTGGGGGGAAATGAGTGGATGAGGGGTGCCGGGCTGTACCCTCTGCTGCACTGCACTGTGCAGCTGTGCCTCGATTGCTCTCCAGTAAGGGGGATCGACAGTGCTGCCCTCCCCTACCTGGAAATCCATCTGGTCCTGCTGGGCAAAACCACAGCTTTTTTTGGGTCCGTTCTGATGGCAGCTGAATAATTGCAGCTTTGATACAAAACTGTAATGAGGCAAGTGTCCCTGTGGTGTAATTGGGAATGAATGTGCATGGCCAAGAGTGTGATGTCTCTGAAAAGTCACTTAAAGCAAAGCCCCTTCTTTGCTGCCAGCATGGAGGCTGCTCTGTTATCTGTCTGTCTTTTCCAGTGGCAACAGAAATGTCTCTGGAATTGGCTTCCATTTTGCTGGTGAAATCTGTTCAGGCCCTCTTCTCAGGCACGGTATTCCATGCAGCTTTAGTCTTCCCCATGGTGTATTGGAATGGTTGACTCACTGTTGGGCAGTCTTGGGATACTTCTGTTCCCTAAAGAGCTCTGTGTCCCCTGGGTTTTCTCTGGTGGCTCTGCAGTTGTGGATATCCAAATCAAGGGTCTTGGCTTGTCTCTGGGAAGCTCTAGCTCAGTCCTCTCACAAATGGAATGCCTCTTCTGCTACCTTTGAAGGGAATATGAAAACTTGAAGGAGGCTCGGAAGATGTCCAGTGAGATGACAGAGAAACTGAAGAAGGAGCTCTTTGCTGTCAATAGCAAGGTAAAGGGAAAGTGTGATGTGGGGCTGTCAATAACTGTGACCCAAGCCCTCTGCAGTGCCCCCCTCCCACACTGAGCACTGTTTGAGTGGTACTGGTGGTGTGGAGGTGTCAGGCTGGGGTTTCTGGAGCAGGGTGCGATGCTGTGGTGGGGGATCAGCTCCTGGGCTGCTCGCTTGTCAGCCTCAGGAAGATTGGTGGGGCAGTGAGTGCAGAGCCAGCCCGGGTTTGGCAGGGAGCCTGGGCTGGAAGGCAGCAGCCTGCAGGTGCTCTGCTGCTCCCACTGGGTTCTGGAAGCAGCACTTCATCCTGCCCAGCACTCAGCTGCCAGCCCCTCCTGCTGCACACCTGGGCCCACAGGAAAGATGAGAAGGGATTTGAAAGCAGCACCAGTTGAGCAGGGCTTAGTACTGGCTCGGCACAGCCACAGTAACCCTCAGCCTTGTGCCTTCAGCCAACTGAACCAGGCCAGGGCTTCTGCATGATGCTGTGCACAGGCAGGTGAAGTTCCCAAAGTGAGGGCATGGAGGTGGCTCTGCACAGAGCCTGCCTGGGCTGGCACTGGCCTCGTACTGAGCTTGGAGCTGCTGATGTGCCCCTGTTGCTGTGCTTCCCCTGCTCCAGGCCTGGCTGGGCTCTGTTAGCTCGTGTTGGGTGTTGCTTTTGTCAGTTTTGGTAGCAAGTCCCTATGGAAAGCGTGTGTGTGTAGCTTTGCTCTATGTTCCCTGGGGCATCCCCATGTGCAAGCCCACAAAGTGAGAGACTGTAGGTGGATTTGGCCTGTTTTTTGTTACTCACCCATAGCTGTTGTCCCGTGAAATATGGAGAAGGAAGTTCTCAGATTGCCGTGCTGCTCCCCAAGTGAGGTAACCTCCTACATGAGGTGCTGCTGCTGGAATCGAGCTGCTTCTGGTGGAGCTAGTGCCAAGCTGCAGTCACCAGCTTGGGTCAGGAGGATGCGAGTCAGTGCACTCAGGGCTTGGCTTGGCTGACAGAGAGCTGACTGTACCCACACTTGTGGGCTGGCCCAGACTCCTTAACCCACAAAGTCTCTGAAGTGGTGGCAGTCCACTTCCCAATCCTTGCTCCTGGCATGTTTCCCTGTTGAATCAGGCTTGTCCATGTGCCAGTATTGCTGATGCACAACCGTTCTCCAGCCTGTGGTTTGTAATTCCTGTGCTTTGGTGGGTCCACGGTCTTGCAGGAACTCAGAATGCAGCCACCAAGTGTTAGAGCAGGGAAAAGCTGTTACCATCGGGCCACAAATGCTCGGGAAACGTTATAGGAAGGTTTGTGTTGAGCGAGCAGCCCTGGAGATCCCTCTGCAGGCAGCATGAGGAAATGCTTAGGCATTCGGTTGCTCTGATACAGGAGAGGTTGGTCACACTGGCACAGGAAAGCTGAGCCCTTCAACAGGGATGTGCTGCAAAGCATGCTGCACCCACAGGGACCTGTGATCTCCCTTATCCGAGTGTAACCAGTGCTCTGCTCTTTGGGGGGGTTATTCTGCAGCTGCAGAAAACGGTTTTAGAGTTGGAGAAGACACAGGAGGAGTTAAAAAGCACCCAGAAGGATCTGAAGAATGCGGACAAGGAGATCTTGGTGAGAATGTTATTCCTTGGTCTGCAGTAACTGGCAGCTGGCCATGGCCTACAGCTGCAAAGCCAGGAGTTACACTGGCTTTTGCTCGGTGACTGTTACCCAGCACATCTTACCTCTCTTATTTGCCCACCTCCGGGTTCTACCTGATGCTGATTTATGGGAAGGGGCAAAGTATCCGCTACTAAATCATTCCTTTTCTCCCTCTGCTTTCCTTTTTCCCTCCAGAGCTTGAAGAAGAAGATAGATATCCTGCAGGATACTCTGAAGGTCCCATCCCCAACTAGAGAGACGCTCAGTCGGCTAGTCTTTGAAAGGTTAGTGAAGTGCATCCCTCGATACAGGCACTGGATTGAGATGTCAGGTCCAAAGTGAGCGCTGACAGTTTAACTAGCTGTGGGAGCAGAGGTGTGCTAGCCTGGCAGGCATCGCAGCAGCACGGGCGTTTTGCTCCTTGTATCCTAGTTTGCTGCTGACAAGGCGGTGTTTGGTTTACCTGGGGAAAGATGTGTGTCTCAGAGGGTTTGGGTTGGAATGGGCTAGGTTTTGACAAACTCTTTATCACTATGTCCCAACAAGGAAATATCCCTAAAGCTGTTCTTGTGGTCGCCTCACAGTTGGCCTTACAGTGAGCATGTGCTGGTGTGTGGGGACTGAAGATCTTGGCCAGGCAGAGGAACCTAGTCTGGAAAAAGGCATCTCTTGCATGTTTACCAAGTCCTTTCCTGCAAAGAGCCTCTGCTGTTGCCCCAGGATGGCAGGCTGTGTTGCATACCCAAAGCAGCAGTGTGCCAGGGTACACCCTGGGCTCTGGGGTGCTGCTGTTACAGCACAGGCCGTTTGAGGGTGAGCAGTAGTTTGGGACACTGACTATAAGCTCAGGGGTTTGGATTGTCCTTTCTGTGGCTGGTGAGCAGAGGGGGCTGTGATGCTGGTCCCACTGCTGCCTCAGCTCAGTCGTGCAGCTCTGTCTCCTCTCGTCTGCCGGTGGCAGATGGTGGCCTCTGGCTGATGCTTTGCATGGCCTTGCAGCCCTGCTCCCGTGGAACTGCAGCACCCGAAGCTCCACCGCCCAGCCCACAGCGAGGAGATCAATCTGGATGCTTCTTTTGATGTCGACACCCCCGAACATCAGCCCTGCAGTTCTCTCTGCAGCCCTGCAAAAAGGCAGAAGCTGGATAAAAAGCCGTGAGTTTTCCCTCCTCTTTCTGCTTCCAAAGGAGATCAAAGTCTCACTTCTGTGGAAGTTGCTGTGTGAGATCAGATAGCTCTCCAGCTGCCTGATGTCGTGCTGCAAGTTCTGTCGTCATCTGCTTGGCCTTCTCTGTCCTTGCCAGCTCTACTTGAACAATAAATCCCTGCTGATTTGCTCCTTGGGCTTCTTGCAGGCCTCCCGTGGTAAACCTGGCGAAGGAAGTTCTGAAGGAAACAGTGGAGGTAAAAGGGCTACTCTTGATTTTTCTGTATCATCTCTTTGATTCCACTGTTAATAAGCGTGGGATAAAGGACCCATTTTCTCCATGTAGGAGATGCTGTCACCACAGATCGGCCCATGTGTAGGACCACTGTACATGCTTCAAAGGGATGTGCTTGCTAGTCTCTTAGAATGCTGCCTCAGGCCTCCTGGCATTGGGCAGGAGAGGGAGGGTGGGGACCCACCTGCTTCTTGCTGATTATCTTGCCTCAGATGTGCTTGGCATGATACAACCTGGGGCTGTAGGGTCAGTGAAGGGGGCTGTTCTTCCAGGGTTGCTGGGTGCCATGTCCCAGGCACTGTTCCGCGTAAGCCCCAGTGGGAGGTTTGAAACTACTGTTCCTTGGCCTAAGCAGTAACCATTACCTGGAGCAGCTGTGTGCATTATTAGTGCTCCCTGTTTATGGACTAAATTCAGCAGATCATGCTGGTTAAAGGGCTTTTCTCATTGTTTTGTGGGACAGAACTGGGCAGATGATCTGGAGGATGATACTCTCAAAGGACTGTTGCCAGCATTCATCAGGAACTCTGTTCTCTCCAAGAAGCCCTCTTCGGGTAGCTTGCTGGGTCCGCACAGGAACGTGGGCACTGTAAGTATGACTGTCCAGTTGGTGAGCATGTCAAGGGCTGGCACTGCACGCCTCTGTCCTCAAGTGACCCTGCAGGGGGAAGCGAAGGAGGCTTTTACTTTGCCACAGTGTGTGGAAAATAAGTCTTGGAGCGTGACCTGGCTACTTCCCAGTCCTGCAGAGCTCCAGGGATGACAGATGCTCATTCCCTTTCTGGCAGCAGACTGAATGGCGCTTTGCATCCCATTCCTCCACCTCCTCGGAGCTTTGGGTGTTTTCCTTGTGTTACTGAGTCCCAGTGACAAAATCCTAAGCTGTTGCTTTGGAGTCTCAGCTTGCTGCAGAAAGTGCCCAAGATACCCAAACTTTACTAACATCCTTGGGTCTGCCTTCTTCCAAAGGTGAGGGCTTAGCATCAGTACTGAGTGTTTCCAGGTGCTTGTAACCCCACCACAGAAGCTGCAGCCTGCAAGGCTCCCTCTTCCCTATAACCAATGTGAGGAGAGGTAGCCAAGGCTCTGTGCTGCTGCTCCAGACTCCTTTCTTCCTCTCTTCTAGGTGCGGATGGGTTATGATGGCATGGGAGGCAGAACAAAGTTCATACAGCCTGTATCCTTTCCTGCAGCTCACAAGGCAATAGTAGTGCTGTAGGACTTCTCCTCTGTTCATGCTCATCTTGGAGTCTTCTCCACCAACCAACAAAAAAATGGGCTAGGACCCTCAAGGAACCATTAGATTTGTCTTCGTCTGACTCTGAACAAGTCTGAGTTCAGCAAAGGCATCAGGGACCTGAACTTGCTGAGAGCATTAGCAGAGGTGGCTCATGCAGAGCTGTGGATCAGCCAGAAATCGGTACCACTTGCAGGGACTGCCTCTGCCTTTGGAATCCCTGAGCACAGCCTCTTCCTGGCTGCCTGCTCGCCAGCCCATCTGTTCCTGTGGGATGCTGCTGCCCTGCTGTGCCTGTGCTGGTGGGCAGCCCTGCAGCAGGTGAGCAGAGGCTGGGCTGAGCTCACCCTGTGATGGGGAAGTAGCTTTTCCTTGGGAAGGTGTAGGCTGTAGTTTCTGTGCCTTCCCCTGCACAGTGTCCTGGCTCTGACATGCAGGGTAGGTCTTGAAACTCTGACAGATATCCTTAAATACTTTCATGTGTCAAAGGGGGTAGCATGGAAGTGGGGAGTGTTCTTTGACTCATGGGACAGGAGCATGCCTGAGCTCTGCTGCTGAGTAGGGGCAAAGACCAGCCTGTCTGCAGGGAGTCTTTCTGAGGGTGCCAGGGTACGGCTGGGTCCCAGGTCTGTGACTGAGGCCCATCTGCAGCTGGTATTGGATCACTTTTGTCTCCAGGGCATTGGTTTGTACTTTCCTTGACAGTTCTGCCTCTAGACAAACCTGGCAGAAATCCGTCCCTTAGCAGTGAGGAGCAAGAAGAAGGTCTCGAGGCAGGCGTCTGCAGCTCCCTCCACATCTTCCTCCAGAAGCAACCAAGCCAGACTGGACAGTTTTCTGCAGTGAGAGCAGCTGGGCAGGGTGGCCATAGCACAGACCATGCTTGCCCAGAGCCTGGCACGCAAAGCAATGGGCAACCATTGTTCTGTGAGTGGCTATGATTTGCAAAGCACCCATGCTATGTGGTGGGTGAGACAAGTTGCCTTGCAGCAAGCCAACAGGAAACCAAGCCTCTGGCTAGTGCTTGGACTGATTTATCCCCTTCATTTTACCACTTCTTCCTCCTATTTTCATGCAGAATAAACAGGGTTTTCTCATCTTTACCTGCTCAGAGCTCTGCAGTTGCTGCTGTTGGGCTCTGACACCAGGTCAGCTGCACTTGTTGGATGCAGCTGCAAGCCAGAGGTGTGGGAAGGATATCTGGGATGTCAGTCTGGAGTAAGAGCAGGGACATGGACCTGCTCTATGCCTGGGGTAAATGGTTCCAATAGGGTTTCCAGGAGGAAGAAGCGTGCAGGGGGCAGAACAGTGTTGGCCTGCAGGGTGGCTGTGTAGTTATCATCAAACTAAACTTCCTTCTGCAGTGGGCCTGGGATGGTTGGGGCCCCCACAGACCACCCTGAGGCATGGTCTGGTTTGGGCTGTGAAGTCTGCTATGGAGTCCCAAGTTCAAACTTGGCACTGAAATTGCTGACCTGGGGAGGGGGTGCTGGGGTGACCCCCTGCCCTGCTTGGGAATGGAGAGATGGGTGTGCTGATGTCACCTCTGTTCTTGTTATGTGTTGCTGTCAAGCTAGTGTATGAATTTCTATTGTTTTAATGAGACTGTAGGGGTGTTTTGTTCTTTTCTGACTGCTTTGCCTACTGCTTTGAGGGATTGGAACAGCCTGAAGAAGTGCTGAAGGTGAACAACCTCCTTGATAGGGGGGATACTGGTAGGGCTGAACCTGTCTGGGGTTCCTCAGCTTGGTGATGTGTGACAGGAACTTCTCCCTCTCACCCCATGGCTGAAGCAGGGCTGTTCATTGCAAGGAACGGACTTGGTGAGGCACCTCGTGCTGTACAAATCCATCGTGTTTCCTGTTTTTAGCTGCTTCAGGCTGGAACCTGCAGTACCTGACTTCCTGAATCTACGCCTTTAGGGAATAAAATATAACACTATGTGCACTTGTTAACACACCTGCCTTGTGAGCATCTTCTTCCCTACTGCAGCTCAAGGTGAAGAGCCAAGTGGGGGGTGATGGGTGTGCTGTGAAACCTTTGCTGCCAGCTCTTGGGGGGACAGGCCCCTTGAGGGAAGGGCTGTGGTGGGGTGAAGCTGTGATAAAAGTGATGCCAGGCTCCAGGGCAGTGAATGTAGCAACTCCCCACAGCCCATCTGCTCTGTCTTCCCTGCAGCAGTGGGGCTGGCTGCTGAAGAACAGGGGTGGGGAAGACCCTGGAGGAGCACAAGGAAAGGATTCAGAGGGCTGGAAAACAAGCCTGGGGGACTTAATCAAAGGGGGTGATAGGGGCCAAGCACTGCATGTGCTGGGGCTGCAACCCCTGTCTAGTTCAAGGTGGATGTTTGAATCTCCTGGGTTTTGGGGAAAAAAATACCGAAGCAAACCACCAAGCCCAGCCTTTTTCTTGTTTGTTTTTATATATATATTTTTTTCCCCTGTTCTGGACCTAGTGTCAGTCCTGATCTCCTTTCATCCTCCATGCTCCACCTTCCCATGTCCTTCCCACTTTTAGCAGCTGTCCCTGCTGTCTTTCTGCTCTGTTTTACTGCCCTACACCTTCCTCCTGCCCAGACATGGAGCCTTTTTCCTCTTTCTTGGGGATGATTTTGGCTGTTTGCATCTTCATGTTACACAGTTCGCTCCCTGCACAGGACAGCAGTGACCTCTGGGCTCCTTGTCCCCTGCGCTTGGAAGGGGCAGAGGCCCCATCTCCTGATGTTGGTCTCTCCATCTCCCATGGGGCTGGAGGGGGCAGCTGCTCTTCCGCTTGCTGTGGCCAGGAGTCCTGGGGGTCCTTCCTCTGCCCCCCAGCCTGCTCCTGGGAATGGGAGGCTACAGCATCACAGCTAAGGGGCAAGTACCTGTGGGGCTGCTGAGCCCCTCCCCGTGGCCTCTGAGCACATGGGGCAGCCTGTGATGTCATGGGGAGGAGGCGCGTCTGTTGGCTGAGTGCTGTGTGATGTCAGGGGCATGGGCGTGCTGGTTGGCTCCTGCCTGTGACCTCCCTGCAGAAGGTGAGTGCTCACTGGCTGAGCCTGGGCCTTGGGGAGAGCATGCAAGCCCATTGGTTGGGCCCTGTGACTTCATAGAAGAACAACGATGACCATTAGGGGATGGGGTGCTGGTTGGCTGAGGGCTCTATGACCTCACATCCGCTGGGCACTGTGTGACCTCACAAAATGCTGCGTGCTCATTGGCTGGCTAGGTGTGACCTCATGAGGTGGCACGGTGCCCATTGGCCAGTAGAGTATGACATCTCAGCGCTGCCTGTGACCTTACAGGGAGCAGGGCACTCATTGGCTGACAGGGTGTGATGCTGTGGGGCAGCCATGACCTCATGGCTGGCAGAGTGTGACCTCTCCAGCGAGTGGAGCTCTCACTGGCTGGCAGCCTGTGACGTCCTGCAGTGCTCCGTGACCTCACGGGTGACTGGGTGCTCATTGGCTACCAGAGTGTAACCTCATGCGGGAGCAAGCATTCATTGGCCGCCGGGGTGTGACCTCACGGGAGGCTGCATGCTCGTTGGCTGTCACAGTGTGAGCTCGCAGGGCGCCGCCTGGCGGACGCGGGCGGTGCAGAGCGCCGATTGGTCGGTTGGGCTTGGCGGGGCGGGGCGCACCCCCGCGCGCCCGCCGCTGCCTCGCGCCGCCATTGGCTTCCCGGGCCCGCGGGAGGCACGTGCCGGCTCGGGGCGTGGGGAGGGCGGGGCGGAGGGCTGCGATTGGCCGGGGGGGCGCGCGTGCCCGCGGCGCGGTAGCGGGCGGGCTGCGGGTAGGCGCATGCGCGGGGCGGCGGGGGCAGGCGGCGATGGCGGCGCGGGGCTGATGGCGGCGGAGGCGGCGCTGCGCTGAGGGAGCGGTCCCGCCCGGCCCGCCATGGGCAACGAGGCCAGCCTGGAGGGCGGCGGCGACGACGGGCAGATACCGCCCGGCGCCGCCGCCGCCGCTGCCACCGGGGCCCCGCCGCCGCCCGCCGCCGCCGCCGCCGCCGTCAAACCGCCTTCAGCACCGGGCGGCGGCGGACAGCTCCCGGGCAGCGCGACCGGGCCCAGGTGAGAGCGCGGAGCGCTGCGTGCGGGGGGCACAGCCGGGACTGGGAGCGTGGGAAAGAGCCGGGTGCCGTTCGCGGGGTGCGCGGTGCGGGTGTGCGGGGTGCAGGCCGGGTGCGGGGGGCGGCCGGTGACAGCTCTGCGGGGAGCGTGCGGGCAGATGTGGGTGAGTGGGTGACAGGGTTGTGCAAGGGGCAGGAAGCGATGGGAGAGCAGCACCAGCTGCAGGGGTGCGGGCAGACAGTGGGGTGGGCAGGGGCACCCGCGGCAGGGCAGTGCTGGAGGGTGCAGCCCCAGGGGAGCTGGGAGCTTGGGGACACGCATGGGTGCTGGCGAAGGCAGGGGTGCAGTTCGGGGCTGGGTGTGGGAGAGGGGCAGCATATGGCCAGTGAAGAGCACAACGGTTTGGGGGACAGGAGAAAGAGGGGTGCTGCCCGGCGGGCAGAGGTCCAGCAGTGAGGGCTGGGGAGACTGTCACAGAAGTGGGGTTAGGAGGATGGAAGGATGTGGTTTGGGGCTGGGGAGCCTGGGCTGGGGGGTCTGGACAGGTGAGGAATGGTGCCTGGTGGACCAACTGTGGCCACCCCAACCATGGCCACCCCAACCATGCACATCCCAAACGGAGCCGGCACCGAACAGGGCAGGTCCTTATGTAACAGGAGGGACGTGCGGCCCTGCCAGGAGCCGTTGGTGCGAAGCCTTGCAGGGAGCGGTGCTGAGCCATGCTCCCACTGTCAGGCAGCGCCAGCCGGCACCGAGATGCTTCGGAGGCGGGCGTGGGATTGGAGATGCTCCTTTAGGGGAAAAAAAAAAGAGCCTATCCTAAAATGCCATCCTATCTGGAGAAATAAATGCCAGGAGCAGAAAGTTGCACAGAGGGATGCGGGGGACCCTGCAGGCAGCTTGCCTACGCTGCGTGGCCAACGTGGTGGCGTTTCGGGCTCTCCCATGCAGCGACGAGCCCTGCTTGTATTGCCCCTCGCCAGCGGGAGCAGACCAGGAGGCTGCAGTTGTGCCTCGTGGAGCTTCCCTCTCGCTCCCAGCTGGCTGCAGTCGCTGCTTGCATCCAGACGGGGTTCAGGGATCCCAGAGAGCAGCTGAGCGGCGGGCAGGCTTCTCTGTGTCAAATCTCTGTTAGCTTTTGCACAAGGAGCATGGAGATATACCCGGAGTGGAATCATGCCTGTTTTCCATCCTGTTTTCTCCAGCTCCCCCTTGCTAACCAAGTCACTGGTCCCTCAGCTTCGGACCCTGCCAGTGAGAAGTTGTTCGTAGGCTGCTTGTAGTGAGTTGAAATTAAAGACTGCTCAAGCTGGTGCATGGAGATGAGCCGAGGGAGCCGTGCAGATGTGCTGTCTCTGGTTTTGGCACTGCCTTGGGGCTCCCCTGTTACTGCCCGGGGTCTGTGTTCACTGTTGTACCAGGGCTGGGGGTCCTGGGGTCTTGGAGGAGCCGCAGCCCTGCAGCATCCTCGCTCCTCTCCTACCAGAGCACCGGCTGGGTTTTGCCAGCCATGCCTGAGCCCTTGGTGATGCTCCTGCCCCTCCTGGGGAGCTGCTGCCGGGAGCTGCCCTCCCTTGCAGTTAATGCAATGAGGGAGGTGGGCCACTCGGGGTTCTGTATGCAGGTGGGGAGCACAGGCACAGAGCGGCAGTGGGATGGGGAACATGCTGATCTGTACCAGAGTGGGATGGGTGTGAGGGGCTGGGGTAGCACTGAGGGGTTTTAACACAAGGTAACAAAAGTGGAAATGAAGGTAAAAGCAGGCCTGAAGAAGAAAGTCATCTCTGTGAGACGCAGGAGTGGGCACGTAAGGCAGAGCAGATGTGGTAGATGGTTTAGCAAAGCACGGCTCGTGCTGACCAAGCAGCGAGCGTGCAGTGCACAGAGCATCCCTCCCGAAATCCCAAGTGGCAAGGGAAAGGAAAGGGAATTCCTCCCAGTATCTGGGCAATTGGGTTTCTTGTCTGAATTAAGTAACCTAAATCTGTATGTAAGCCAATGAGGGGTGTAGTAGTGTTACTTTTCTGTGTGGTGTTTCACAACTTGCTTTGTGTTATACAGGGAATAGTCTGAATACCTGATACGTGATACAGTGGATTTCGGGCTCTTGTGTTTAAACTCATAATAATTGTTTTAAAGAAACTGCACACACCATGGAGAGACTTCAGAGTGGAAAACATCTTATAAAGTAACATCTTCTCATGGGGTTGCAACATCTACTGCTATTTATAAGCTTTGATTTTCTGCCTGAGCGCTTTGGGTGAGGCATGGTGGAGCCAGGGGATGAAGGGAAGATGGGCACTGAGCTTAACTGTGCCACCCCTGGGCTCTGCCAATGGGGAACAGCTCTGAAAAGGCAAACGTGGTGCAGGGTTGCATCAGGTGAGGTGGGTTTGGTGCAGGTGAGAAGACCTTGCCCCTGCGCAAGGTGCTGCTAGAACCTCGCCTAGAGGCTTAGGCCCAGCCTTAGGACTCGGGCAAGGTGATGCTGAGGAAGGATGGAAGGGTTGCTGCTAGTCTGCCTGCACAGAGCCTCTGTTGTCTGAAAGGAGATGAAAGATGGAGCTTTGCTAACCCATAGCATCAAAGGAACACAGTTGATGCATTTGGACTGAAAACTTTGCAGCTGCCTGCCAGGACTGAACCCTTTCTGCTTCTCCAAAGAGACCCCCTGAGCAGAAGGGACAAGACCATTTGACAGTGCAGCTTGACGGACTGATGAAGAGGGGTTGCATGACAGAGTAGGGATGCTACCAAGCTCAGAAACATGGCTTGGGGCACAGAGCTTTAGGTGGCTGGTTTCCCTGGTGTCCTAAGGAGAGACTCTGTTGCTGCTTGTGATCGTGTTTGTCTGTGCCTGATTTATGACTGGTTCATTCAGGTTCTCGGTCTGTCTGCTGCTC